TGCACCTAGATCCACCACATACTTCCAACCTGGAAAGAAAACATGGACTTTATTTTTATACTGATGGTAATGGACTAGTGCATTAGAATCAACATAAACAAAGAATTCAAATCACCATTAATTCCTTTATACCAACACCCCAGACAGAATCTTTCTGTCATATGTTGTGCACTAAGGTGCTGTGAAATTAAAGACTAACAGTGGAAGACAAATGAATCTGACAACCAGATAACCAGAGCATAGCAGTCACGGTTCAGACGCAGAGAGTGGTGAGAATGCTTTTGAACCTGGGAAGCAACCAGAAAAGCAAAATATAGTGTGAGGAACAATAGATTCTGGAAAGCTTTTTGACATGAGGCTGCAAATGGCTGTCTACTTGTGAATTCGTCACAGAACTGAGACCAGACCTCTACACAGGTTCTCCTTTCCTGTTTTCCTGCTATGTGACCCTTGGGTGGTGCTGTTCTGCAGTGTGATGGCTTAAACACTAAAGTGGAAACTGCATTTTCAGAAACACCACCTGCCTTTTCCCATTCTAAAAGCTGCCAGGAACACATTCAGAAGAAAGCAGAAGCAAAGCTAGAGGAGTACAACAACATCTGGAAAATTTGCTAACACCCATGAATAAGGAATCACAAGTGCATAATGAATGCATCATGCAGACCGTCAAATTTGTAAGGATTCAGAAACTCCCATTCCTTCCAAAGAGGGGATGTGGATTCAGCCATGGACTCAATGGAGAGCACTGCTGAAGTCCCTCATCTCTCAGCTGCATCCCACCACCTTGCTCCAAACGATATAGAGCACTATTGCTATTTACAAAAACCTGGTTTGTACACTGTGTTAGAGGTTTACTTACATCATACTTTGAAATGTAAGTGCTATCAGGTAATTGCTTCCAACTTTGATTTCCCATACGCAGTCTGCATTGTTTGGGTAGTAAGAAGGATACAGTGGACTTTCCAGTATCCCATTTGAATATGGAAGAAAACCACCACAAGGAATATTTGTTCCCGAAACTAAAAACCAACAGAAAACACAGAACATATGTGGTCATGGTGCAGTAAGGTGTAGCAGTTATTGCAGAATATATATATATATATATATATATATATATATATATATATATATATATATGCATATATGTGCTTGGTCTTTGCTGTACTCAGAAGATAAAAAGTTCTTTCTTCTGTTCCTTAGAAGCAGGAAGGATCTTGCAATCGATGTTGACTGTTTCCCACCATGCTTAATTAGGGTCAAATAATTTTTCAGTTAGGGTTAATAATTGATTTCAGTCAGTTAATAATTTTCCATCAGTTAAATAATTTAAATCTCCCACTCTAAGGGATTAATTGTCTAAATGCCACAGTGTGTTTTCTTAACTTGATGCCTTATGAATTTGCTATGCTAATGTGAATTCAAGTTCAATACCAGTCTGAATATACATTTCTTGATTGGATTATTACCTGGTACTGGTGGTGTAGTTTCAACTAAAAAATGAAGGGAAAAGAACCTTTGATACTTTAACAAATGTTTTAATTGTTTCATCAGCACCATTGCTTGTGCTGTCAATGTGTCAGTGAAAGTCTACCGTTAAATATTTTCCGAGTGAATCTAAAGATCTTCTGTGGAAAGGAATCTCCCTCAACCCTGTTGCCAAGTTCTCAAACATTCCTGCGCTGCAAAACATACAATACTGTTGTGTTGTGTGGAAAGTTTCACAGCATTTAATCACAGTTGCACCTATAGCCACCACATACTTCCAGTCTGGAAAGAAAACATGGACATGGTTGTTATAGTGATGGTATTCCATCATTCCTCTGTACCATGTTTGAGTGCTGAAGGAGAGCTAATTGCTCTCTTTGCCTTCAGAGGGAAATTGCCATAACTGAAGAACCTGGTCTAGTCTTCCAGCATATAATCTTGAGTGGGCCTGTCTAAAGACATCTGCCAGAAGGACAGAGCGAGATTTTTGATCCAGGACACAGGCTTTTTTAATGGAGATCTGCTCATCTCACTTTTCTCCCCATTTTCCTTTCCTT